GTGGGATCGTAGATCTTCTTCTCCTTGGAAGTTTGGTAGCCCAGTAGCCATATACAATAAAAGGTTTAGGGTTTAGGGTTTAGGGTTTAGGGTTTAGGGTTTAGGGTTTGGCGTTTAGGGTTAGGGTTTAGGACTTAGGTGGTTGCCTGCGTTATGAGGGCACCCTGAAACCAAAGAAAAGGGTCAAGGGTATCACTGGCCTACCAAGGAAGGGAACTCACCGGGGTAGTTCGTAGCGACGCTATTCCATCGAATGCCCTAATTTCCAGGGCTCGGGGTTGCTGCTGAGAGATTCTGGGGATCCCCAAGGCCCCAAGCCCTGCCCCCTATATAACCCTAAACGACATCACTGGGTGCCCTAATGTCCCACTAAACCCTCAGGCAACATTTCATGAAACCTAAAACCTTCCCTGAAGACGAGGGAGGACCTAGGGCATCGCAGTCCCAAGGCGCGTTCAGGTACTTGCGCAGTAGCCAGAACCTGGGCGGGTGAAGGGCGCTGGGGGGACTGCTGAGGCTTGAAAGTCCCACAAAATCCGAACGCCTATCCCTTACCCTTTTTTGAAGGGATCCAAAGTATGGGCCCTTGCTCTGTATAGGGTATATAAGGGTTATATCATGGGTTCCCCTACCCCCCTCTATACTACCCCCCCTAGGTTCCCCCCTAGGTTCCCCCCTTAAATAACCTTAATTAAGCTTAATTATCCCTAAATAGCCTTAATTATGGGGGGAACCCAGGTGGGGTAGTAGGGGAAGCCATGAGTATATAGCGAGGGACCCAAATCAAGGGCCCATACTTGGAACCCTGGACTATAGGGTTTCGGGTGGATGTCAGAACCACAGACAGCACAGGGCCGACGAACCCAATAAATGCAAGACGCCGAACTGCAGTTTGATGGGTTATACCTACGAAATGCAGGGGTAGTTACTACTAAGCTGTAGGTAAATAGAGTCCCAGATAAACCCTACGGGAGGGTCGGCCTCCTTCCAGAGGGGAAGGGCTTGGGCTTGGCATGGGGTTGCTTAGGAAATCCTGTATCCCTAAACCCTAAACCCTAAACCCAAAATCCTAAACCCTAAACCATAAACCCTAGCCCTAAATCCTAAACCCTAAACCCTAAACACTAAACCCTAAACCCTAAACCCTAAACCCTAAACCCTAAACCCTAAACCCTAAACCCTAGCCCTAAACCCTAAACCCTAAACCCTAAACGCCCTCAAGCCCAACTTCCCAACCGAGGAACTGCCGGCGAGAGTTGCCGTGCAGCGCCTGTAGCTGCCTCGGTGGAGCTTCGGGAGTGGTTTTGCAGGTTTTGCAGGTTTAGGGGTTAGGGTTTAGGGTTTAGGGTTTAGGGTTTGGGGTTCAGGGTTCAGGGTTCAGGGCACCGTAAACGCTTATAGTTATCCAAAACAACATAAGAAGCTGTAGCCCATGACTATGGTCAGGATTTCGCAGGGAGTGAAAGAGGGCAGTGATTCTTGAGAACCTCTCTCTGCCCTGAACCCTAAACCCTAAACCCTAAACCCTAAACCCTAAACCCTAAACCCTGAACCCTGAACCCTAAACCCTAAACCCTAAACCCTGAACCCTGAACCCTGAACCCTAAACCCTAAACCCTAAACCCCTAACCGAACACCCTGAACCCCAGATCCTGAAAATCCTCGTGCCTCAAGCCCCAAGCCCCCAACACCCTCCACCCAAGTCCCGAACAGCCTGATACCCTACAACACCCTAGCAACCTAGCACCCTGAAGCCCTGAAGCCCTAAACCCTACACCCTAAACCCTAAACCCTAAACCCTAAACCCTGAACCCCTAAACCCTAAACCCGAAACCCTGAACCCCTAAACCCTAAACCCTAAACTGCAGCTTGCTCGCGCGACGGAGTTGGTCACGCTGCCCACGATGGACGAGAAGCCAATGGAGGCCTTGGGGTTTTGTGAAACCCTTAGGGTTGGGGCTTCATTGTTTTAGGGTAGTATATGAGAATTGCCGATGACCACCCAAAAAAGGAACAACAGTGGAGCCTTCAGGTAAACCCTAAACCCTAAGCCCCGTAAGCCCCGTAAGCCCCGTAAGCCCCGGAAGCCCCGTATGCCCCGTAAGCCCCCTAAACCCTAAACCCTAAACCCCTAAACCCCTAAACCCCTAAACCCCTAAACCCCTAAACCCCTAAACCCCTAAACCCCTAAACCCCTAAAACCTAAAACCTAAAACCCAAAACCTAAAACCTAAAACCTAAAACCTAAGCCCCTCAACCGTTTTGGTTTGGGGGTTTGGTTCTTGGCCCGAAGCTTCAGAGCCAAGGTCGTCAAACTCGCACACACGTGCCCTCCTTTACCTTGCCGTGCCCTAAAACCGTGAAGGGTGTTGGGACTTTAGGGCTTTGGTTTTTGTGTTTCGCGGTTTAGGGGTTTAGGGTTCTAGGGTTTTAGGGCTGAGGGTTTCTATAGGGGTTTAGGGTTCTAGGGCTTTAGGGATTCGAGCTTAGGGTTTGGTCTTTAGGGTTTACTATACTCCCCTTAGAACCTTAATAACAACTACATGTTTAATGTTTTCTTGGGTTTATTTTAAAAACAAAGAACCCTAAACCCTAAACTCTAAAATAATTCCCAAGAGGGATATAGTTTAGGGTTCAAGGCCCCGACGAAAAAGACGACGACGATGCTGACGATCCTGTGCGGTGTGGAGAATCGTGGCTCTCTGAAACCCTAAACAGGGTTTAGGGTTTAGGGATTGGGGTTTAGGGTTCGGGGTTTGGAGTTTAGGGTTTAGGGCCCTAAGCAACATATAGTTGAGATATGGAGGCAGAACACAGAATAACCATAACCACTATAAACAGCGTCCTGTACACCCCAAAGGGTTTAGGGATGCTAGGGTTTAATTAGGGTTGCGGCTTGTGCGCTTTGAGGGTTTGCGGGCGAAAGGTTTCAGCGTTAAGGGTTTAGGCTTGCTTTAAAGGGACCTCTGTACCCAATAACAAGCCATGCAAATCCTACAAGCCCTACAAACCCTCACCGCAAACCTGGCACCCTACATACCCGGACATACCCTACAACAAACCATACAGACTCTATGGGGCCCTACAAACCGGATAACGAACCCTACAAACCCCGCACGCCCTGCAAAGCAAAAACAAAACACAAAGCCTGCAAACCCTAAACCCTAAACACCTCCGCCCCCCCCCCCCCCCCTCTCCCACCCCCCCCCCCCACCCGCCGCCCCACCCCCCGGCCCCACAACCCACACCCAACTCCCTACAAGCCCTACAAACCCTCAAACCCTAAACCCGAAAGCCCAAACCCGAAACCGCCGAAACCCGAAACCCGAAACCCTAAACCCCAAACCCTGAGCCCTACACCCTACAGTCCCAAAACCCTAAACCACGAAACTCTCACCCCTAAACCCTAAAACCTAAACCCCCCAAACCCTTACCTCTAAACCCTTTCAACCCTGCAAGGCCCTGCAGCCTCTCAGAGACATTGCGGGCGAAGGAGTCCATTGAAGCCGGTGTGAACCTGAGTCTCTAGGGTTTCGGGCTTTTTGTTTAGGGTTTAGGGCTTAGAGTTCAAGGGTTTAGGGATTGTAGTGTTTAGATGAGGGTGCATAGGCTTTGGTGGTTTAGGGTCACATAGGGAGTTTAGGGGTTTTCGGGTTTAGGTGTTGCAGGGTTTAGGGTTTAGTTGGGGTTTAGGGTTTGGAGGGTTGGGTGTGGGTTTCGGTGGGCGTGTTGAAACTTGTGCTGTAAATAGGGGATCGGGGTAGGATTTCAGGGTTTACAGGGGTTTGGGGCGGCCAACTTTTAATTATAGCGTATGGGGTTTACAGGCTGTATTGGGATTATAGGGGTTTATGATTGCCATGTTACCTGGGAGCTTAGGTTCAGGAAGTCCCAAAGCATTCAACCCTAAACACTAAACCCTAAACCCTAAACCCAACACCCTAAGCCTGTGTAATGAGAATGGATACAGTATTTGAGGTGCGATTTGTGGTGCTGTGGCTTAGACTACGAACATACCTGCAAGGACTGTCATAAGGGAGGATACTGGCAATTTAGGATTTGCAGGGCTTATCGTTTGTAGGGTTCAGGGCCTATGGTGGGTCCTGCTTGAGCTGAGACGCTGTGTGAGGCTCCAGTGCAAAGCCGTAGTGTACTGGTACAGAGTGCTGCCGTCGATGACCCTGCCAGATGTCACGATTCCACAAGGCATCCCGGCTCTTAGCAGAGGCGCTCTTGGGGTAGTTACATGGTCACGGGCCCTTAAAAGGGGACCCCCTGTCTGCCCCTTATATCCCCTATACAAATTAAGGGCCCATACATCAGAGGGTAAGGGACCATACTGAGGGTCCAGGAAACTACCCTTTAGAAGCACTAAATCCCACAAAGACCTAGCAAACAACGAGGCTGACAGGCCGGTCTCGACACCGAGATCGGTGAAAATCGAGACGGTGAAAATCGAGAGCCCTAATCCGAGCTCCTGTTTAATTGGGGGGGCCCCCCCCCCCTCACAATAAGGAAGGCAGGGTTCCGCAATAGTTGGACCATGGCCCCGTATGGTTTCTCTATTAAAAAACAATAAGAACCCAAACGTCCCTGCAGAAGAAAAAGCTTTCCGAAAGGCAGAGTTTCAAAATTTGACAACCCGACAACCCCCCCCCCCCCCCCCCAAAAAAAAAGATTCTTTAAATGTGGGGGGGTTTGGCCCATACGAAATCCATCGTAATGGAAAGTAGTCTTCCGGCAGGAATCCGGGCAAAAAACATTTAAATATGGGGGGTTTAATTAAAAAGGAGCTCGGATTAAACCCTAAGCCCTAAGCCCTAAGCCCTAAGCCCTAAGCCCTAATTAAACCCTAAACCCTAAACCCTAAACCTAAACCCCAACCTAAACACGTCGTTTTCTTGTACTCATCGGAAAAATCCGGAGTTAGGTCGTTCGTTGCGGGCCATGGTGGGGAACCGTTTCTTTGTGTTTCTTTTCGGTGCCCTCTATGAACCTCTTCATAAAACGAAGGCCGCCCCAGCGTTCTTCTCCCGCTTCTTCAAGTTCCCGACATTGAACAGACCAGTATATAACTCCAGCTGCGCCCCACGCGAAAGCTGCTGCAATGTTGCACGCGGGTGGCTCTTGGGTTTAGGCTGTCTTGGGGGATCCCTTTGAACTTCGCAGCCCTTTTAGAAGTGGTGGGTTAGAGTTGTATGTTGGCCCTGAATCCAAAACCCTAAAACCCTCAACCCGAAAACCCTAAAGCCCTAAACCCTAAAACCCTAAAACCCTAAAACCCTAAAACCCTAAAACCCTAAAACCCTAAAACCCTAAAACCCTAAAACCCTAAAACCCTAAAACCCTAAAACCCTAAAACCCTAAAACCCTAAAACCCTAAAACCCTGTCTCTGCCCTGACGCCTAGGCCATGAGGCGTTCACGATCGTGTTCTCCAGCCAGTTCAGCTCCCCACGCTCCATGGTCATCCTGCCTCGCCCCATGGGGTTGCAGCCCGACACCCTACATGTGGGTTTAGGGTTCATGGTTTAGGGTTTAGGGGTTTCGGGGTTTAGGGTATGGGGCTTAGTAAGAGTTCTTATAGTATGCGTTCTGAGCTTCTCTGGGGCTTCTGGGGTCTAGGATTGCGGGTTTGGGGGGGGGGGGGGGGGGGGGGGGGGGGGGGGGGGGGGGGGGGAGGGGCTATATATCGAAAAGTATTGAGCTATGTGATGATCTTCATGGGGCTTGGGCGGCTTGGGTGTAAGTCTTAGGGGTTAGGGGGTCTAGGCCCCTCAGCTTACGCGCAACGATGGCCTACACAGCCTGTAGTGTTTGCTTTGTGCTTTATCTTGGGGCAGCACCTAAACCCTAAACCCTAAACCCCAAACCCTAAACCCTAAAGCCCAAACCCCAAACCCCAAACCCCAATGAATGCTTTCAGGGTCCGAAGCTTCAAGTCCCAGTGCCTGTGGCGTACCAGATGCAAGCGATCACATGATTGAGCACGCTGATGAGACAGGTGAGCCTCAGGTTAGGGTTAAGGGTTTAGGGTTTAGGGTTCAGGGTTCAGGGTTCAGGGTTCAGGGTTTAGGGTTTAGGGTTTAGGGTTTAGGGTTTAGGGTTTAGGGTTTAGGGTTTGGGGTTTGGGGTTTGGGGTTTGGGGATTGGGGTTTAGGGTTTGGGGCTTAGTTCCTAAGTCTGGGTTGCCCACTACCCTGTGAAATCATGCAGCCCTCTCCGCCCTAAACCCTAAACCCGAAACCCCAAACCCTAAACCCCTAAACCCCTAAACCCCTACACCCCTAAACCCCTAAACCCCGAAACCCCGAAACCCCGAAACCCCTAAACCCTAAACCCTAAACCCTAAGCCCTAAACCCTAAACCCTCCGGATTTACAAGCCCAGGAAGCTTCAGAAGCGTAAAGAGGATGAAGATGTACTCGCTGTCCAGCGTGTCATAGACCTCAGGTTGTTCTCAAGGCACGGATTTGGGGGTTGAGGCGTGGGGTTCCGCAAAATGCTGGACTAGGGTTTAGGGTTTAGGGTTGCGAGGCTGCAGCAACCTTGATTGATGACTGAGCAGCTTGCACCAACGAAAGTCTTTTGACAGCTGCCCTTGCCAAGAAAGCCTCTGCTGGCAACTCCAGCTGAACAAGGCGCTAGGACGATCATGGGCGGCCTACTTCCAGATCGTGGCTTGCATACGGCACGGCATACACATACTGACCAGTCTGTGCATGGACTGTATGTGGAACTGCATAGATGTACTGGCCCAACTCTTCCGAACCCACGTCCGCCATGGACTGGATCACGAGTTCCAACTTTTCCTTAAACTCGTGTTGACTACCACACTCCAGGCCGAAGGCAACCAAAGGCCGAACAATTGCTTGGCAAGCCTCGTAGGTTGCTTTGGGCAGGCTTTCATACTGCCTCACCGCCTCTGAAAGGCCCGGGGGCAGTGAAGCTGGGTCGGCACCTCCTGCCAGAAGCACCGCGCACAGAAGCCGGTGAACTTCTACGCTGATTTGAGCCCGGCTCCTGGCCTCTTGGGCCTGACAGAAGTGCTCCCAAACTTTTTCTGCAAAGTGGCCCAGCTCAGGAATCTGATGCGCGGCGATTCTCAAACCTCCGACCAGCAGCAACTCCTTCCTGGGCGAGCGCTCGACTGCATCCAACAGTGCTCTTGCCGGAAGTCCGATGCAAAGCTCCCCAGGAACAGCATCCACGAACTCCTGGGGACATCTTGCAAGTTACAGGGCTCCCTTGTAAGACTCCCCAAACGAGTCAGCATACTCCTCAAAAGAAGTAGACTCCCCTGGTTATAAATATAAATATACATGGAAATATGAATATAGATATGCATATATAAAAAATACATATATGTATATGTATATGTATATGTATATGTAGACGTAGATGTATATGTATATATATATATATATGCTACCCCCCCCCCCAGCGACCTACCCTTTTTAGGCCTTTTTAGGCCTTTTTAACAAAAATAGCAAAGAAGGCCCAAAAGTCGCGTAGTTAATCACGGGGTAATGAAGGACAGTTACTGGGACACCCACCTCACAGACCCCGATAAGCCAGCATTGGAAGAATCTACATTTTGAATCTGAAGCGGACAATGCTGTTTTTAGATGTTTAGATCAGTGTTTTTCTATGCAAATTGTGCCTTTCAAGGGCAATTAATGTTTTGTTGAGCAACTAATTTATTTATACAATTGTGTTTGTACGAGGCAAAGTATTAATCAAATAGTGAAACATTTTTCTTGGTTCTATGCGAATTTAGCTACTAGAGTAATTATTCAGCAAAGAGCCCAATTTGACTCAAGTGAATACTATTTAAAGGAGCATACTCAACCAAGATACGAAATAAACACCATTCTCAACCAAAAAATGGCAAAGTGTGCGTTTAAAGTGCAAATACCGTATTTATACAATTGTGTCTGTACTAGGCAAAGTATGCTCTCTGAAAAGTCCACTGAAATACCTTATGTTTACATATTCATGAATCGTTTTTGTTTTTGAAATAGTCATTTTATGCGAATTTAGCTACTAGAGTAATTATTGAGCAAATAGCCCAATTTGACTCAAGTGAATACCATTTAAAGGACCACTGTATTTATACAATTGTGTCTGTACTAGGCAAAGTATGCTCTCTGAAAAGTCCACTGAAATACCTTATGTTTACATATTCATGAACCGTTTTTATTTTTGAAATAGTCATTTTATGCGAATTTAGCTACTAGAGTAATTATTGAGCAAATAGCCCAATTTGACTCAAGTGAATACCATTTAAAGGACCATACTCAACCAAAATACGAAAGAAGCACCATATTCAACCAAAATATGGCAAAGTGTGGTTTAAAGGGCAAATAGTGCTTTGTTGAGCAACTAATGCATTGAAACAGTTGTGTTTGTACCAGGCAAAGTATTATTGAAGTACTATCTGCAAAGTCAAATGAAACACCTTATGTTTACATATTCATGAAACAATTTTTTTGAAGTATTCATTCTATGCGAATTTAACTACTAGAGGAATTCTTAAGCAAATAGCCCAATTTGACTCAAGTGAATACTATTTAAAGGACCATACTCAACCAAATACGAAATAAACACTTGCGGAAATGGAAACGGTTCTACCTACATAACAATGAGACAAAGATTGCTGAAGTATTCACTAAAGACCACTTATATACTATGTCTGAAAAGCACAATTTGCATGAGCAAGCTTAAAAATGCACAATAATGGAAATAGAAGCGGTTCTACTTACATAACGATGAAACAAAGATGTCTGAAGTATTCAATAAAGACCACATATATACTATGCTTGAAAAACGCAACTTGCACAATCAGGCTTAAAAAATGCGCAAGAATCCTAGAAAAGTACTTGGTGAAGGCCATACACTAGCAAATTCACAAATACATAAAAACATCCAAAAGCGCAAGCTTTTCAGGAGAATCTCTGGTAAAGTTTGGATTATAGGGTTTTGGGGTATTCCTGGACGAGTAGGCGTCACTTTTTAAGCAAACAATTCTAAGCAATAAATGCTTTTTCTCAAGACAAGTATAGCACATGCTGCTTCTAGATAATTAATCGCATTTACCAGGCAAATATTATCCATGCGAATTGAGCTACCAGAGCACCAAGTAATGGCTGAATAAGGTCTACTACACTTGAGTACAATCAAAAGATGCACTAAACACTAGCGGCTCTACTTACATAATCACGAAACAAATAGGTCTGAAGCGCTAGAAAGACCACTTGTATACTATTTCTGAAAAGCACAATTAGCATAAGCACACTTAAAAATGCGTAGTTGTTGCCTCGTGACCGTGAAGGCGAACCAAAAAGCCAAAATACCAAAACCAAAAAACCAAAAATACCAAAACCAAAAAAACCCAAAAAAACAAAACCAAAAAAAACAAAAATACCAAAACCAAAAAAACCAAAAAAACCAAAACCAAAAAAACCAAAAATACCAAAAAAACCAATTTTCCGGGACTCTTGGAGAAGCCTCATAAGGATTTCCTGAGAGTCCCGGAAAATTGGTTTTTTTGGTTTTTTTGGTTTTTTTGGTTTTTTTGTTTTTTTTGGTTTTGGTTTTTTTGTTTTTTTTGGTTTTGGTTTTTTGGTTTTTTTGGTTTTGGTATTTTTGGTTTTTCTACTGTCCCGTGTATGCGATTTTTGTTGTATTTTAGTCTACGCCCTAGGAAATACGCTATATTGCACACCGAGTTTGCTTGCAGTGCAGCTGGGTGACTTGAGACAAGGCGAAAAAGGGTAGGTCACTGGGGGGGGGGGGGTACCATATATATATATATATCCTATCCAGAAGGCCCACGAACTTTGAGAAACCCCTCCTCTGTCAGCAGCCCTTCTTCCATGGCCTCCCGCCCGAAGCGGATCATCTGGCGCCCCAGTCCCCGCCAGGCTTCCTGCACCTATACGGAACTTGGGACCCTAGGGTTTAGGGTTTAGGGTTTAGGGTTTAGGGTTTAGGGTTTAGGGTTTAGGGTTTAGGGTTTAGGGTTTAGGGTTTAGGCCTTAAGGCTTTATAATTTTAGCTGTTTCGTAGGAATTACAGTGCCCAAAAAATTAATTAGAACAATATTTCCAAGTACCCCTAAGGCACGACGTCTTGCGACACCTCGAGTCGGTGGGCGAGCGTGCGCAAGCGCAAGTCCCAGGAACTGGCGAAGAGTCCCACCTGTGCTGAACTTGGAACGCCAGCAAACATTAAAATTTCAGCTGTTTCTTGGGAAAAAAATACCCAAAAATAAGAAAAAACCAGCTGTTTCTTAGGAAATAAAGTACAAAAAAAACAAAGGTTATTTCCAAGTGCCCCTAAGCCACCACCACCGGGGGAAAAAGTGACAAGCTCTGAATCGACGGTGACAACCGAGCCCTGTCTCCCTTGGCAAACTCAAAGCATTCGTCCACCGTCTGCCCCACCATGTCAAACTTTGCTTTCAAGCTCGTGTTCAGCATGTTTAGGGTTTAGGGTTTAGGGTTTAGGGCTTAGGGTTTAGGGTTTAGGGTTTAGGGATGTTGGTCAGCATGGAGCCGGCCCACACAACCTGATAGCCAGCTTTGAAGCCCTGCACCAATGGCTCACAGCAAGTCCGAGCACTGGGGCGGCGACGGGCTTGCGCCAAGATGCGCAGCCAACCTGGCGCAGTCTAGGGTTTAGGGTTTAGGGTTTGGGGTTTGGGGTTTAGGGTTTAGGGTCTAGGGTTTAGGGTTTAGGGTTTGGTGCGCAACCGACCTGCAGCGATGTAGGCTGGCCATACAACTGCCAGGATGAGTTTGGCCAAGGCTGCCAAGACCACGACCAACAAGAGGGCAGCTACCAGGCACACGATCGAGCTCAACCATGCCTTGGGCACCAAATGAACCCAAAACATTGTGGTATATTTTGCCTTCTACTACTATTTCCTATTAAGGTATAAGGAACCATAAACCCTCTTAGGGTTCATTTGGTCCCCAAGGTGCCAAGAAGACAAGAGGGAACCACCACCACCAGCAGCTTCCCCCTCGCTCATGCCATTCCACCTCCTCCATCAACCCCGCATCGTAGAAGTCTCGTCTACTGAAGTCTGCCTCTTCGTACAACTCCAGCATTGTAAAGCCTGCACCATACAAGTCCCCCACGCTGGCGCCCAGGTCCTTAAGATCCTCTGCGGAGTGGCCCTCAGCCATCAGCTCTTGGATGGATCGACCTTCCTGTCCAAGTGGGATGTCCCGATGATCCCCACAGCATGAGCAGAAGGGCCGGCAGACACAATGCACCAGGATCAGCCTATACTCCCCTTAGAACCTTAATAAAAATGATAGATGTTTAACATCCTCTTGGGTTTTATACAAACAAAAAATAAGAAAGAATGACTCCCAAGGCGGAGATAGCAGCCAACGGCACACCGACTCATACACAAAGCGCAGCACCACGGAGAGAATCACCAGAGGCGACTTCAGAATCGTCAAGGCGAGCGCCAGCACGCCGAAGCTGCAGCAGCTCAGGACGCCAATCAGCAGGCCACAGATCCTCGACTCCCCTTAGGAACCTTAATAAGAATGGCATGTTGTTAATATCCTCTTGGGGTTTATATGAAGAAAAAGTAAGAAATAATTCCCAAGGGGGATATAGGATCAGCTCCCAGCATGTAATGTCTTCTCTCTGCACTCGGCTTGCTTGAGCCTGCTCCTCGGACACCAGTTTCTCCATCAGCTCCCATAGTTGCATCAGCGCCCACAGGCCTAGTGCTGCTGGGCCAAAGCTTGATATAGCCAGCACCACAAAGCCGGCTAGTAGCCAAATCAGAGCTAGCAGAAGGGCAGCAAGCAGAGGATACAGCGGCACGCCCAATATGAGAATGAAGAACGTGGTCATGGACTTCCGTGCGGGCCCCTCCGCTGCTAACGCCCACACAACTCTCAATACAGCATAGAGAATGGGGAAGAAAAGCAGGAGAACCACCACATAGCTCACAGTGAAGCCGGTCATAACATGGTTGGGCAGTGTGGCATTGACCCTTTCCAGCCAGACGGAAAGGTCCTGGAAACGAGCAAAAGGCACGTCCAAACAGTGCAACCCTGTAATCATGGCCGCAGCGGTATTGCGTCAAGCAATCACCCCTCGCAAGCCACTGAGCCAACTCCTGCAGAGGACATGCTACAGCTCTTGCGCAACTTCTCCCCGCTACGATCGTATGCTACAGGTATACTTTATATCGAATGTGACTCACGCGTTCTTCATGGCATCCTTGTAGCATGTTTCAAAATTATCGTCGTACCTTCTAAGCTCTAAATTCTACACCGTAAACTTCCTAACACTAAACCCTAAACCCTAAACCCTAAACCCTAAACCCGAAACCCGAAACCCCAAACTTGCTGAATCCTCGACACTAGAAGGCCGTGTACGTGTAAACACCCCGAGCATGCAACCTTTCTTGGGGAGTCGGGTTTGTCACATGGCAGCTCCCACCGGCTACAGAAGGGGCCCCATTTACACCACGAACTGTATCATGCCTCAAGGAGATTCGGCCCGATAAAGACTGCGGAGCCACCACATACACACTTTCGACCCTGGAACCGGAGTATACGATAAGTATACACTACCGTAGGCTACAGTATACGAGCATGCATTAAGCATACTAGAGTATACTACCGTATACTAAAAAAGGAGTGTACTGTAGCATAACTTAGTAACCCTAAACCCTAAACCCTAAACCCTAAGACATCCTGCTGCGAGCTAGACAACTTGAATAGGATACCATGGTATGCCATAGTATCCTGTGCTTTGAGGTTCAGGGTACTTATAAGAACCCCAATTATAACTGTACTTCTAAGCCCCCTAAGTCCCCTAAGTAGGCTGTAAGTAGATTTGAACCCCTGAAACCCTGAAGCCCTAAGCCCCAAAAACCCTAAGAGGGCATATTATGACTTCGGAGGCAAAAGAAGCGGAAGAGGCGAGGAGGGGACAGAGGCAGAGACGTGGACAGGATAGGACGGAGGGTTTAGGGTTTAGGGTTTAGGGTTTAGGGTTTAGGGTTTAGGGTTTAGGGTTTAGGGTTTAGGGTTTAAAGTTTAGGGTTTAGGGTTTAGGGTTTAGGGTTTAGGGTTTAGGGTTTAGGGTTTAGGGTTTAGGGTTCAGGCAGACAATCATGGGACTCTATCTTGGACACTTCAGGTTCCGCCCTTGCGTTTGAGGACCCTTTTTTTGAGATTCTCCAAGGGCCAATTACGAATATAAAAATATATATATATATAGTTTTGTTTATTTTTTTATTTACATATATATATATATATGGATATTCAGGGAAACCTTTAGGGGTGCAACCTTACGGGTGCGAGTCTTAACCTCCTGAGGCAAAGGAAGATGCGGCCCTAAGCCGCAGGCTCCAACGCAAGTCCGACGGAGTTGCTCTCTCTTGCTGGGCTCGAACCCAGTCATCTTGGTAGCCTAGTAACCATGTTATGGTAGGGGCACCCTTTCTGGGGTGGTTGCTCTACAATGTCTAAGGGAGCCCATAACCCAAAAACAAAAAAAAGGGTAAAAGGGTACCACTGGGCCATTAAGTCATCCATAGCCAATGCTTTCCAAATTAGGGCTTAGGGTCGAGAGGTTAGAGGCTACAGGCTGTAGGCTGTAAGCTATTATTCTGGGAGTTCTACGGGATGCAGGAAGCCAGAATGCGGCGTAAGTGTTGTGAATTAGGGATTGGCTTTGGTGGCGTATTGGGGATGTAGGGATGTAGGCTAAACCCTGCACCCTGAACCCTGAACCCTGAACCCTAAACCCTAAGCCCTAAACCCTAAACCCTAAACCCTGAACCCTGAACCCTAAACCCTAAACCCTAAACCCTAAACCCTAAACCCTAAACCCCAAACCCCAAACCCTGCCCAGCACCCCCCATAGCTCGGCCCAGGGCCAAGTTCATCGCGCGCTGGAGCTTCAGCAGGCGTAGGAGCCGCACCCTCAAGCCACATGGGTTATTTCCCACAATAGGGGTACCCCTTGTCTTTTGTTTAGGGTTTAGGGTTTAGGGTTTAGGGTTTAGGGTTTAGGGCTTAGGGCTTAGGGCTTAGGGCTTAGGGCTTAGGGCTTAGGGCTCAGGGTTTAGGGTGTAGGGTTTAGGGTTTGGGGTTTAGGGCTTAGGGCTCAGGGTTAAGGGTTAAGAGTTAAGGTTTAGGGTTTAGGGCCATTTATACCCCACATAGTATAGAAGCCCCTTTAAAGGGACCCCCAAGAAGGGTACCCGATGCTTGGGGGTTTAGGGTTTCGGGTTTAGTGAACCCTGAATCCTGAACCCTGTTGCTCAGTTAGTTTACCCTAAACCTAAACCCAAAACCCCAAACCCTAAACCCCCAAGGGTTGGTGGGCTTGGCGTCTCGAAGGCCCTGAACCCTCAGTGGCCTTGGGTTTGCGGATAGGGATTGGAATTTCAGGGTTGCAGGTTTTCGGTCCTGCGGAGTTGGGTTGAGCGTTTGCGGCTTGGGTAAGGTCTTGGGTCGAGGGTTTGGGACTTGTAGGTAAGGGTTTTAGGACTTCACTGCAGGCTTTTGGGGGTTGTAGTAAGAGTTTGTGGCTTCGGCGGCAGCCACTGCTCCAGCTTGGATGCTGCCTGCGTTACTCACACTCATGACAAATGTTGCTGCATCTCACTGCTGCATGAGCTATCTTCAGGCTTCTGACTCCTTTGACACTCATGGCTAATCAAAGTTAAAGCCTCACACATTAACCCGCTAAACCCTGAAACGTACACCCTAAACACCCAAACCTCTCAAGGCGATTCCTACGATGTGCCTGCTTTAGGGTTTAAATGTTTTGGGCTTAGGCGTGAGGGGTCTAGGAATTAAGGTGTTGTGGGTTACGGCTACTCCCTAAACCCTAAACCCTCATGTTCAAAATCCTAAGCCCTGATCCCTACAAAAAACCGTGGTGTAAACGGGAAGGAATAGGACAGGGTCTAGTCTAGTGGGGTTTGACCTAGGGTTTAGGGTTTAGGGTTTAGGGTTTAGGGTCTAGGGTCTAGGGTTTAGGGTTTAGGGTTTAGGGTTTAGGGCTACCCTATCAACCCGCTGCAAGCACTCCAATGGCCCGCCTCGATCTCACTAGGCCTTATAGGACGCTGTCCTACGGGTTTAGGGTTTAGGGTTTAGGGTTTAGGGTTTTGGGTTTAGGGTTTAGGGTTTAGGGTTTAGGGTTCGGGGGGGCTTAGGGGTTTTTAGGTGTCAGAGGAGTTTGGGTTCAGGGGTTCAGGGGGCTTAGGGGCTTTTTGGGCCTTGGTGGTGTAAAACGCACAACAAGCAAGATTGTGGCCGCCGGCAGTGCAACAAGGCCCCGACACTCTCAGCACACGGAGGCTGCGCAAAGCGTTGGCGACATCATCCAAGTTGCCTTGTTATCATGGGTTCCCCTACTACCCCCCTCGATACTGCCCCTCTACGTTCCCCCCATCATTAAGGTAGGGATAATTAAGTAGTATAGATGGGGGTGGGGAACCCATGATGTTAGGGTGTAGGTTTAGATTTGAGAATGAAATTAGCTCAGCTTGGGAGGACCTTCTTACGCTTGAGAGCTGTTGGGATCTGAAGGCAGCAGCCTAGATCGGAATCTCTGTAGTGTGAGAACCACAAGGATTTAGGATTTAGGGTGTAATGAATCTGCAAGCAAGTGCGAAACCTACAAGCCCTATGGCTACAGGATATTGATGACAGCTCCATCACCACCCTGCAACCTCCAGAAAGAAACCCCAAACCCCGAACCCTCTGCTGCGAAAGGGCCTTCCTCAGCCTCGTCGAAGTTATCCTGACTGCTACCTGGACATTAGGGTTTAGGCTTTAAGGTTTGGGGTTTAGGTTTTGGGGACTTGCTTGGGGTTTAGGGTCAGCTTTGTGCAAGGAAATTGGCATCACGTGGCTTTTCGCTCTTTCCCGGCGTTCTGTGGGTTTTGATTTTTTCATGTTGTGGCTGTGCATGTCTGATCACTGCTTGTAGGGCCCTAAAGTTATAGTGTCTGCATGTGTCTGCTCTATGCACATCCTAAAAACCCCAACCACAAAAGCTCCATACCTGGTCCTAAACCCTCGATAGCGCTAAAAAACACCCTTGGGAACCCTAAACCCTAAACCCTAAATTTTAAACCCCAAACAACCCCTAAACCCCTAAATACCCTAAAAACCCTAAACCTATAAACCCTAAAACCCCAAACAACCCCTAAACCCCTAAGAACCCTAAACACCCTAAACCTATAGACCCTAAAAACCCTAAACCCCTAAACCCCAAAAACCCCAAAAACCCTAAACCTATAATCCCTATAAACCCTGAACCCCTAAACCCTAAAAACCCTAAAAACCCATAAACCCCAAACCCTGAAACCCTATGCGATCCCTCAGCTTTAGAGGTGCCGCCTGGCGCCGTGGCTGCGAGGATCTTCAGAAACCTCGAGGTTGAGGGTTTAGGGTTTAGGGTTTAGGGTTTAGGGTTTAGGGTTTAGGGTTTAGGGTTTAGGGTTTAGGGTTTAGGGTTTAGGGTTTAGGGTTTACTAGGTCATGGTTGGGATAGTATCAATAAAAATTCAAATTGATAGTCCTTATGGAGTTTAAGTACCCTTAGAAAGGTAAGATGTTCCCCCACAATGACAAAGTTTAGGGTTAAGGGATTTTCCGGGTTCGGGGTGTGGGGCTTGGGCGAGTTTAGGGCTCACGGCTGAGGGGCGTGATTTGGGGATGTAGAACCCTAAACCCTAAACCCTAAACCCTAAACCCTAAACCCTAAACCCTAAACCGTGGCTCTGGGGATTTGGGGCCAAGAGTCGAGTCTAGTGTTAGCGGTTTAGAGTTCTCGAATTTTGGGGCTGATTCCCGTTTGGCACCCAGTACGTAGGCCCCCCCGATACCCTACACACTGAAACCACTGAGCAAGGGTTTTTTGGGATTTAGGGTGTAGGGCCTTGGTGTTGACGTAAGGTTTCATGTTGGCCGCGAATTCATACCCCCCTCCCCCCCCCGTCTCAGTTGCTTTTGTGTTTCCGCCCCGAGCCCCTGTTGAGGGGGGGAGTCGGCGCCCCCCAAGCCCTGACCTACCCAAAAGGGCCCATA